CGGTGGGTTGGAAGGTGGGCGCGAGCGGCACCGGCCTCCCCACCAGCTCAGTGCCTGGCAGCACCTCCTTCAGCTCCCCAAAACCTGGGGGAACCAGCACCCTGCTGAGACCACAGGGGCCATAGCAGGGTCCAAATCCTCACCATCTCTGTTCCCCCCGCCTTACCCTGGCAGCCGCGGCGCTGCAGCCAGGTCCGTGCCAGCTGCAAGGCCAGGGCAGCGTTGGAGCGCTGGTGGGTGCCCGCCAGCCCCAGCTCCAGTGCCCGGTATCCCTCCTCAAAGGCGTCCAGCTCTGGGCAGAGGTAGAGGGGACACTGCAAGGAGAGAAGGCTCAGCCCCCCGCCATGGGGTACCCCCTATCCACCCCTCTGCCACCCAACTCACCTCCAACTCCTGGGCTCGGTCCCTCAGCACCTCCAGTGGCCGCTCTGGCTGCACCACGGTGAATGCTGGCACACCAGGCTGCGAAGGAAAGGGGTGCTGAGGGCCATGCGGGAGCACACCCCAAAACCACAAGATGGGGGAGGACTGGGTCTCCCTACCTTAAAAATGCCCCCTTTCTGCCAGGCGATCTTCTCCATGGTGTCTCCCAGGATGCTGGTGTGGTCGATGCCCAGGGAGGAGACCCCACACACCACTGGCGCCCTGGGGATGCAGCGTGACAGTGTCCCCACTGTCCTCCTGCCATGGGGACACCAGTCCCTGGCAGCCCTGGAGGAAAGGTTCATCCCCACAGCTCCTACCTGATGATGTTCGTGCAGTCATAGGCACCGCCAATGCCAACCTCCACCACCGCCAGGTCCACCTGGGGACACAGGGACACCAGAGGTGTCATAGGGTCACCAGTAGCATCTCTCCCCGTGGATCTGGGAACGTGAGTAGGGCCAGGTCCCTGCCAACATCCCTCCAAACCTATGCATGAACCTGCTCATGGGGAGACCATCCACCTGGCACCACCCACATAACCGTACATATGGCCGTGACAGCCCCACGAAGGCCAGCTCTGCCCTGAGCTGGGGCTGGACCCCATGTCCCTGTCCCTGCCCAAGGTCCCTGCCAAACTGATGTCCCCATCACAATCTGGAGGCCACCACCACGACCACCTACCTTCTCCTGCAGGAAGACGTGGAAGGCCATGATGGTGAGGAAGCGGAAATACGCCGGCATGCTGGAGTGTGCTGGGTCCTGCTGGGCAGAGCGGGCGTAAGGGGACAGTGTGGGACATCCCCAGCTGGCGCTGGGGCACGTGGCCCTAGGGGGATGGTCCTGAAGGAAGGAGCCCCCCCCACAAGCCCCACCACCCCCACCTTGGTCTCCTCCAGGCGGTTGTAGACGAGCCAGAAGTATTTGCTGAAGAGCTCCTTGCTGATGGGCTGCCCGTTGATGCGGATCCGCTCGCGCACCTGCACCAGGTGAGGGGAGCTGGGAGTGCAGAGTGGGGAGGGGAAATGGTCAGGCATGGCACCACTGGCCCCCCCAGATCTTCCCAGCCCTGTGCCCACCTGTAAAAGCCTGTCTTCAGCCCATAGCTGCGGAGGATGCACTCCGTGAAGGCACACGCCGAGCCCTGGGAAGATGGCAGCATTAAGCCCTCCCGTGTTGGGGCGAGGGAGAACAAAGCCAGAGATGCCAGTGGCTCCCCCTTGTCCCCCTGGCCTCCCCAAGCCC